GGAGAGAAAGGGGTGAGTTTGGGGCAGGTGAGCTATGAGGTGGCAGGGCCTGGTCCGTGAAGGAGGGCCCTGGACTGTGGACTGGTGGGAAGGGATCAGATTTGGGGCTGAGGGCGTGGGACAGCCATTGCTGGTGGGCACGCCTCACAGCTGTGCCTGTCCCCTGGGTGTCCCCGCACAAGGGCCTGAAGTGGTTGCAGAGACAGCCCTCAGGGCTTGGGAGAGGCTGCTGGGAGACCTGGCCCGAGCCCGGGGGCTGGATGTCACTCCTGGGCACCCAGAGCAGGAATCCCCATTGTTGAGCCCTACTCCGGGCCAGACAACAGTGTTTTACTACTGAGCTTATTTCATCTTTCCCTGGTGCTGTGAGGGGGAAATTATGTGTTGCCGCTCACCGGATGGGGAGCTGGTGGGTGAGGGGTTTAGTGGGGGTCCTGCGGCCCAGTACACCTGGCCTGAAGGCCTGTGCCAGGTGATCAGGTGGACCCTTATCCCTCCTGTCCCCACAGTGAGGAGGAGTGTGAGAGCGGGGAGTGCAGGCTATTGGCACCCGAGTCCGTGGAGAAAGTCTGAAGGGCCAGGAAGTGCTGACACTAGCCTGTGGCCAGCTTCAAAGTGGCACATTCCTGGGGACACATGAGGACGTTCCTAGCCCCCATGACCAGGGAAGGAAGGAGAAACGAAGTCGAAGATTACAGTTGCCGGTGTTACCATCACTGACCTCCAGAGAGCAGCCACTGATGTTAACAGCTCCAAAGCGAAGGGTGGCAGGAGGAGTCTTCCCAGAGCTCGGCCTTCACTCCTGTCTCTGTTCCATGTTAGCAGTCAGGGGCTATTCAGAGGGCGGGCAGGATGGCTCCCAGGGCAGCAGCCTGGGGGGGGGGGTGTCGCACAGGCCAGCCCAGGCCTGCATGCACCGGAAGTGGCGCCTGGCCCAGCTGGAGGAAGAAGCCTGGTCCAGTCCTAGGGAGTAAGTGGGGCTCTCAGAAGGGCAGAGTGCACCAGGAGAGGCTGCTCTGCTTTGTTTTTGGTGCTGAGGATTGAACTCATAGCCTTTACACTGAACTACATCTCTGGCTCTTTTTATGATTTGTATCAACTCTTTAAAACTAAATTTTTGAGACAGGGTCTCACCAAGTCACAAACTTGTCAAGGCTGGTCTTAAACTTGTGATCCTCCTGCCTGATTGTCCTGTGAGGACCAGAGCCTCAGAGTTGAGGCTGAGATGCAGGAGAGGCCTGAGGGCTGGTGTGGAAGGAGGCTGGGCTTGGCCTCTCCCTGGCCTGGGGCAGCACGGCCCTCTGTGGATGACCTACTGACCACCTTGCCTGCAGCCCCACACGGACTGGCTTGGGTTCCACATGCCTGTGCTCTCTCTCCAGATTCCACAGAGCTTTGTTAAGATGAGTTAGATGCTTTCCCTGATAGTCATGCCTTTTTTTCTCTAAAATTTTTTACTTCCTCATATAACCCCTGGCACCAGCTTGGTGTGTGGCCTCCTACATCTTTTCTTCTGTTGGTACAGCAAGTGTTTTTACCCTGAACATAGAGCTACTTGTGGAGGATTTTCCCCTGTGTGCTTCCTCCTGTCCTTTTCACCCCACAGAATATGCTGGCCTCCCAGAGAGATCGTGTGTAGATCACTGCACTCCTTTGAGACTGTGTTGAGATTCCACCCGGTGGACCCCGTGAGTTCATACTGTCATCCCCTATAGCTGGACAGGTAGGGTGTTTTGTGCTCTTGGAAACAACATGGCCCTGAACCTCCCTCTCCAAGCTCACGGGGCACATGTGTGAAAAACAGCTGGCCCACTTTAGATGTTAGCAGACACTGCTCCGTCACCTGCTGTCAGCCTGGGCACCTCTCCGCCTTGGCACCTCTCCGCCTTGGCAGCGACACTCAGCAATGTACCTGTCTTTGCCAGTACTTGTTATTCTCAAACGTTTTGCATTTTTGCCTATTTGATGATTACACACGTAGTATCTTGTTGCCTTAAAGGCTGCTCCTTCTTTCATTTATTCAGAAGATATTGAGCTCCTAATGTAAGCCAGACACTGTGATCAGTAGTAGAGATGCAACAATAAATACACAGGCCCCTGGTCCTCTTCACAAAGTGAGAGATACAAGTAAGGACCAGAGAGGCCGAGAGAGCTGCCTGGAGCTGGGGCTTGGATCTGGATCTGTGTGGCTGCAGAGTTGAGGTGCTTTTCCTTTCAGTCGTACCTCGACCGGGCTCCGTGCCTTCTTCCCTTACTGCTTCCCTCCCATGCCAAGACCACGATGTCCCCTTAGTGACCCTCTGGACTGCAAGGGGCGGGCAGACAGTCCCCCCACGGGCCAGGCTGTGTTTCATTATTTTGCAGATCTCACTTTACCTGCTCTACCCCACCTAACGTAAAGGCCTCGACTGCAGTCCAGATAGGTGCCCTTCAGAATTGGGAAGTGTTGTTCATATGTGCCAAGTCCCTACAAGGAACGTGATCATTCTGTACCACCAGCATGTACAAAAATATATTTTTGGAGGGATTAAGAGGTGCAGGGAGAGGGAGGGAGAAGGAGGAGATAAAAAAATAAAGCTATATTATGTGCACGTACCAACTCCCCATGGTGAATATCATCACTATGTGTTATAAACATGGACCAATTTTTAAAAATAAGTCCCCTTCATAATCTTCAAACTCTCAGTGGCTGAATTTATCATGTTATTTGGGTTTCCAGTAGGCCTGCTCCACCTCAGACAGCACGAGTGAATGAATCTCTGGTTTGATTTGAGGGGGTGAGTGCTGAGTACTGATGTGTGTGTGTGTGTGTGTGTGTGTGTGTGTGAGTGTGAGCATTAGGGCGTGGTTGTGCATCAGGGTCCACAGGTAAACATAGGTGTCTGAGTGGACTTGAATGGCTTTTTGTCTATGTGACTGGGTATATATTTATGCCACTTTTGTCCATATATTGGCTTCTGGGAAACATGGGTTAAATATGGGTCCATAAACCACACGTGACCACTCCATCTGCCTCCTTCTGTGAAGCACAAACTGTGTCTCTAAGAGGTCTCCTATGGGCCGGGGGTTTAGCTCAGTGGTTCCGCCAACTGCCGAACAAGCCCAAGGTCCCGAGAGTTTGATCCCCAGTACCAAAACAACAACAACAAAAGAGGTCTCCTACCTTCAGTGATCTTATCACAATGGGACATGGCCCAGAGAGTGAGGAGGTTTTTTGGCGAGTTAACACTTGCATAAGATCCCATCGCAAGGATGTCCCTGCTCCCTTTGTCTCCTCTTCCCTGTTCTGTGCTTCCAAAGTAGGCCTAAAAACATATGACACCAGCCAGGTGTAGTGGTGCACACCTGTAATCCCAGCACTCAGGAGGCTGAGCCAGGAGGACTGTGGAGAGTTCAAGGCCAAGCCTGGGCTACATAGGACAAGCTGAATTACACAGTGAGACTCGGTCTCAAAAAAACCAAGCCAAATCTAATCGCACACAATTACAACACAAAAAGTACGTGACACTTTTATGAGGGAAATTGAAATGCTAGCTCAAGAACAGTCTTCTAGGGTACAAGTTTAATCACTGTTGCACAGAAATCACCATGGTAGCATGTTCCTGCAAAAAGATGGACTTTATCCTGGCATCCCACACGTGATGGCATTTCTCCTTTGGGTGAAAATGACACAGGAACAAGCCAGAAAGTGCTGACTCCTCAGTTGTGTCTTTGCCCTAGAGGGAATGGGAAAGGGCCCTTTAATAGCTAAGATGTCACTGAACTTCCTGATGTCACTGAACTCCATGCTTTAAATCTTAACTGCTCACTTGTAATTGAGCATGGACATAGATACGTAGTGCTTAGACTATCAAGGTCGTTTTGAGCTTAGACTGTCAAGGTCTCTTTGACATGTGAATCCATCCATTATACTTTCACTTTTCCTACACCCATTCATTAGTTCACTCATTCTTCCATCCATCCAACATTCTGTTCTCTCCCATCCTACTGTACTAGGTCTTCCATTCAGTTCATTCAACCATCTAACCAACCAGTTGCCTGGCTGACCCATGCATCAGTTCAACCCATTTATCCCTGCGTCTCACATCCATACAGTGAATTGCATCCATGCAGCTTTCCTGTTATTCAACCAGTGCATTGTCCATCCCTTTCATTACTCAGCCATCTACTAACCAACTTCTAATGAATATTGACCCACCAGCCTCTGTCTCCCAGGCAGCCCATCCCATGTATCCAAAGACCCAGGGCATCAGTGTGTTGGACATCCACCCCGCCACTGCCTCTCTCCATCCTAGCCTGTGGTTCCTCTGTTACTGGCCTGCACCTCACCGCCTCCAAGCTCCAGCTGGGCTGCTCCCCCTTCCTCGGGGCCCAGAACCTCCCCACCCTCTGGAACAGCACCTGAGCTCCGCCTCTTTGATCCGTGTCCCCGCTTGCTCCTCTTGGTCACCTTTCTCTTGTTTACCTTCCCTGCCAAGGTCTTCTTCCTGTTAATGGAGCCCTTGTGGTGGGGGCCGGGCCCCGTGCGGCCATGGCGGGAGTGCATGGGCCATCTGTGGGGCCGTGGGGGTGGACTGGGGCCGGGGCTGGGGCTCCGGCTTCGGCTCCGGGAGCCAGGTGGGCTGTGGTGGCTGGGCGGACTCTGACTGCAGCCCTGGCGTCGGTGGCTGCAGGTGCCCTGGTTGCAGGTGTGGCTCTGAGGCTCAGAGGAGCTATGGAGCTGGGCCTGGGTGGTGGGGAGGCTCCGCATCTCGGTACCCTTGGAGGCCACTCCTGGGGGCCGCCTGCCCAGCTGCCCAGCTCTACCGGGGCCCCGCAGCGCCCCTTTATATGGTCAGGCTGACTGTGATGGCACAGGCCACAGAGGGCGACAGAGGTGACGGGTAGGCACAAAGCCCCCGCCCTTTGCCCTCAGCCCCAGGGTGGGGCAGCTTTCAGGGGCACTCTGGGGTTGTCCCACCTGCCGGTTAAGCACAGAGGCCCCTGGGTCCGAGGCAGCCAAGTCCATGGCCCATGTCGGCCCCTTCCTTATTCCCAGCCCTCAGCACTCACCCCTCCAAGCCCATTAGCCACCTCACGGAACACTGAAAGAACTAATGGAAAGAATCTAGTCAAGCAGTCACTCAGGCCCGTCTCAGAGTCAGAGCCCAGTAGATGCCACCTACAGCATTGTCTGCTCCTGTCCTTTTCCATCAGGGACCTCAGTGGGTGGTGGGTGGAGTTGGACGCCTAGTGCCCACCCAGGTGGGTGATGACCGGGCGAGGAGCTGGCTGGCCGGCCTATCAGCTGGATGACACAAGAAACTGCATGGCTGATGTGCATCCAGCAAGATTCAAGCCTAGGTGCTCAGAGGCAGGCTCAAGCCCCCGCTTGCACTGATGCCTGATCTAGGTTGGGTCATCAAGGTTCCCAAGGCTTGGTTTCCTTGTATGGCCAAGGGGCATCTTTCCTTCTCTCCGGCATTCTTCTTAACCCATGATCCTGCCAGTTCCCAGGAGGCCCCGAGTCCCTCTGCCTCACTCCACTGTCCCTTCTCAGGAAGCCTCGCTGTGCAATTCAGCTCCTGTTCCTGCCAACCCTGCTCAGACACCCCAGCACTTCAGGAAAGCCTGGCCTTTTGCTGGAACCTGGGGCCGTTCACCCAACTTGGTCTTCGGGGAGTCCAGCCAGAGCCACCCACATCCTTGGCATAGGCCTCAGCCCCTCGTATACCCCTGGGGTCCCTGTCTCCATGGCTCCCCCTGGCCTCCCGGAAGCCAAGCCCACTTCTCACTTTGCTGCCCAAACGTAGCTTTGCCTGTCGTCATGCACCCTTGTCACATCAGCTTTTATACAGGTCTGTTTCTTAATAAATGTGTCGAGTGGCTGACGGTGGAAATCACCCTTCCTGCTCACTGGGCTGGTGACACTTGGCAGGCCGCCTTGTCCAGGAGCCTCAGTGACCCTGTGGTGTGGGATGAATGGTGGCCTCAAATCTGTGCCTGTGTAACCCCTGGAACCAGTCAGTGTGACCCTATTTGGACCAAGGGTTTTTAGATGTAATTTAGCTTAATTAAGAGTCTTGAGATGAGCAAATGCTGGATCATTGGGTGCGCCCTGCTTCCCTTGGCGAGTGACCTTTAGGGGATGGAAGAGCTGACAGGAGGAGAAGACCACACACAGAGGAGGCAGAGGGTGGAGTTCCATAGCCAGCAGCCAAGCTGGTCCTGCAGCCACTGAGAACTAGAGGAGCCAAGAATGCTTCTCCTCAGGGTGAGGAGTGGGGTCTTTGGAGCTCTTGATTCCAGACTCTTTTTTTGTTTGTTTGTTTGCTGGTCTGTTTGGTTTTTGTTTTTTGAGATAGGGTCTCACTATATAGTCTACGCTGGCCTTGAACTCCTTGCCTCGGCCTCCCCAGTACTGGGATCACAGGTGTGTGCCACCACACAACAGCCGATTCCAGACTTTTGACCTCTCAGACTGTGAGATCTGTTTCTGGTAGTTTCAGACGACCCAACAGCCCTATGCGAGGAAAGCACCCCGTGAGGTGGACACAGAGGTTGCTTACAAGGGAGCAGGCTCACAGAGGCCCAGAGCGCATCAGTAGCAGAGCCACATTCAGATCTGGGTCTGTCGGTGCCTTGCAGTCAGGCCCTGCCTGGTGTGGAGCTGTACGGGTCTCCCGTGGGAAGTGCACTGGGCCACACCGTGAAGGCTTTCTGGGCCCCGGCCCTACCTGCTGACCTCAAGTGGAGGTGGCTGCCAGCTGTGGTCCCGGCCCCTCTCTCACAGCACCTCTCAGCCCCCAGCCCCCACAGTGGGCTGTGCAGCAGCCCCCTGGGGCCCCAGCATGGCTGGGCGAGTGAGCAGGCGGGTGGGCTTACCCGATTTGAACTGGAGAATGAGGCCGGCCAGCCAGGGTGCCTTGTTGCAGGGGTGGGGGGAGGCGATAGGACAACAGTCCCTCCGCCCCACCTGCCACCACCATCCACAGGGCCACAGCCCACGCACCCCACTCCCAGCCTTAGCCTAGCCCAAGAAGGAGGCTCTCTGGACGGACTCCCCGCCCCACTGCCCTGCCAGGTCCTTCCTGGGCCCCAGGCCTGGTGCTTGGGGGACTGTGAGGAAACAGGTGGACCCCACCGGTCATTTCCTTTGGGTGGGAGGAAAATGGAGCTGGGGCAGCAGGTGTTGGCAGCTTCTTGGTGTCTTTGCGGCCCGTGGACCAGTGGTAGGCAGGCAGGGCTGAGTGTGTGTGTGTGCGGGGAGGGCTGGTTTGTGTGTGTGGCTGGCGGGGGAGGTCGCTCCCTGCGGGCTGTGTGTGTGCCTGCCTTGGCTGGTCTGTGTGTGCCTGGCTGGGTGGGGCTGGCTGTTTGTTGGTTCCTGCCCCCTGCCATGGGTGGGTGGCAGGGAGGGCGGGCAGGGGGCGGGTGGTGGTGGGTTGTTTGTTGTGTTTGTTGGGCGGCAGGAAAGTGGCTGGCAGGTGGGTTGCCTTCCCTCCGCCAGTGCTTTTTGTTGCGGCCTTGTTTGTGTTTGGTGGGGGCGGGGGGGTGGTGCTGGTTGGTGTTGTCTGCTTCTTCTGCGGGGGGCCCCCCCGGCGGCGAGGTGGTTGCTCTGATTGTTTTTTTTGTTTTTTAGTTATTTTTTTTGTTGCGCCATATTTTTTGTTCTTTTTTGTGTGGTGTATTGTGGTTTTTTGCTACCTGCTCATCTCGTCGTAATAATCATTTTTTTTTTTTCTTCTTTTTTGATTTTTTTTTTTTGTTGGTTGTTTTTTCTTGTTCTTTTGTCGTCTTGTTGTCTTATGTAAGTTGTTTTAACAAGTAGTTACCCTACTGTGCTATAGAAAAGCAGAACGAATCCCTCCTTTCTGTGCTTTAACTTCTTTCCATCCCTGCTTCTAACTGTCCCTTCCCAGCCTCGAGACCACTTTCTAGACGGGGCCACCCCACCTTCCACCCCCTGAAGAGGAAGGATCCGAAACAAGGCCACTGCCCTCCCATCTCAGCCTCCCACCCGTGCAGGCACACTCACACGCACACACGCCTGGCTCCTGTGGAAGGGACACCAGAGAGGAGGGTTCCTTGGAGACTTTTCATTGACTCTTTTCTGAACATTTTGAACAGCGGCAGCACCCCTCACTGGGCTGTTGTCGTGGGTCAGGAGGGCATCTGCTCAGGCTCGGGGCCCTGCTGGGCCGCAGGCTTGTCCTCAGCGCTCTCCTCCTGCTCGGGCTCCATCAGCAACAGCTTGCTCTTCACCGGGAGCTGCTCCTCCTCCTCTTCCTCCTCCTCTTCCTCTTCCTCCTCCTCCTCCTCTGATGACAGGGAGAAGTTATCCTGACTCACACAGGCCAGCAGCTTCTTCATGGTAGATCCGTGGCCCCTGCTGTAGCCCATGGCGTGCCCCCTGCTGAGCTTGGTGCAGCTGGAACCCATTGCTCTCCTCGGCTCTCTCCAGACTAGGAGGGGAGGTGCCTGAGAGGAGCAGAGGGCTGCGAGGGCGGGGCATGGGGTGCTGACATCACAAAGGGCTCCTGGGACCCACGCCCCTCAGCTGCCCTTCAGCCTACCTTGGCCTACCTTGGCCAACCTTGGCCGCAGCGGGAGGAGGCATCAGCCTCATCTGTCCAGGGAAAGTCCTCCTTTTTGTTGGAATGAGACTTGGGGGTAGAATGTCCCAGAAATGCCCAAAAGAGAGCCATTGACAGTTTGTAGAGGTGAAGTCAGAATAGTGATTGCCATAGGGCAGGGCCAGGAGTAGTGGGTTTCTTGGGGTGCCTACACCTTCCCTTGTGCCATGCATAACAAAAGCACCCTTGCGGGACTGGGGTGCAGCTGCGTGGCAGAGTGTGTGCTTAGTATGCACAACACCCTGGCTATCCCCAGCACTCCTGAGAGTGTGGTCCTCCAACATCTTGAAAGGAAAGGCAGCAGCTCCTAAGTATTGGGGGATGCATCTTAAGGTGTCTTGGATGCCCCTCAGCAATGCTCTTGTGTCTGCACCACGATTTCACACAGGATGGTCCGGGAAGAAGGAGTGCTAGACATCCATTTAGATCAGGTCTTGCTGCAGGTGTCCCTCTGGCAGGTGTCAGTGGGAAGACAGCCACCACCAGCCAGAGGGGATCCTCCCCGAACCTGTCTCGGCCTCACCCAGCCTGAGCCCTGCTCTCAGTTTTCTCCTACTCCTTCCCTTTCCCAGATGACCTTGAGCACCCCAGACTACACCCTGGGGCTGCTGTTATTTTCAGTAATTTTTTTCTGTGCCACGCAGTCGGGCAGAGATAAAGCGGGCTTTCCCCTTTCAGGGGGCAGGTGGGCAGGTAAGCATGACATCCTCAGGTTGAATAATGTGGCCATCGGCGCGGTGAAGGGACAGGTGACAGGTGACAGGACAGGACAGCACCATGAGCCACTGCCTGGGGACCCGTCCTCCCAGACCCAGAAAGGACTATGTCTGCCCGCACAGAGGAGATGGGCAGCCAGTGAGTTCTTTGTCAAGCTTTATTTGGCAGGTGACTGTGCTCATTGCTCAGATCTTGTGGGCTCCTTGGCAACTCAGGGTTGAGGTATCAACATGGGAGGGGTGTTACGGCCTCGCCTCCTGTTCCTTGGGCAGGTGACTTTTCCGTAGCTTCCGGCAGGGCCTGGGAAGGTTTAGTGGTACCTCCTGCATCTTCTCCTCCTTCTTCTGCAACCTTTTGGGAGGAATAGTTGATTGGGAGCCATTTGGGGGATCTGGGTCGGGATGGAGTTTAGGGTCAGACAATGGGATCCCAGCCTCCCTCTCAGCTGTGCTTCATTCAGCATAGGTGCAAAAGGCCTGGGGTTGGTGGGGCAGGGTTGGGGCAGACCTTGGCGACATCTCCTCCTACAGGTGCATCTCCTGCGCCTTCGACAGGATGGGCGCTGCCTTCTGTGGATCCAGCATAGCCTCCTCCAAGAACAGCACCTACGCCTGTAGTGGCGGCCTCTGTATGTCCTCCTGTAGGCCTCCGTGTGCTCTGGGCTCAGTCCCCGCTCCTGCTCCTGGCCCTCACCAGACTCCGGGCTGTTCGCCTGGAGCGGGCGCTCACTGGGGCTCCTCATGCGGCAGCGGACCATTGTGCCAGGAGCTGGGGAGAGGGGCAGCTCCAGGATGAGGCTGCAGCTGACCTGGGGAGAAGGGCTGCAGCTTGCCCACCTGCTCTTGCTGTTGGTTGGTGTGGTTGCTGGGCGCTCAGAGCTCAGAGCCCCACTATGACCCGGCAGCCCATCCCACGATTATCCCCACTCTGCCCAGTACCCTCTGTGAGGGCAGCATAGGCCAGGGGTGCAGTCCTGGCACAGAAGCCCTGGCCTTGCCCATAAAATGCATCCTCTGTCATGAGGAAGAAGCTGCTTTTTGTCTACACCCAATCCTCATCCTACCGAGTGGTGGGAATTCATAGGTGGTCATGCTAGAAGCTTCCCCACTTCCTTGGTGTTGTGTCATGGTCGACTCTAGAGTTTTACGTGATCTGAGTGTTGGGGGGATGTCTTCATGCCTGGGCACATTGTGTAGCATTTGTCCCCTTGTGCTTGATGATCCACCAAAGACCGGAAGCAGAGTCATGGCAGCTGAAGCCGTAGTTTCCCTCTCGTGGAGGGCAGAGGGGATGCGGTCCTGGTGTCTCTTGGGGAGGGAAGGGGGACATGGTGACACAGCAGTCCCCTCACCTAAAGGCATCCCCATGCTAATGCATGAACCTGTGCACAGGTGTGACTGAGGGTCTGCAGATGGGGAGTGGGCCTCATCACTTGGGGTGTCCTGTGCGATCACAGAGGTCCTTTGGAGAGAGGAGGAAGGCAGGGAGAGGTGTGCAGAGGCTGTGCCGCTGGCCTTGAGGACGGCACTCTAGATGCTGTAGAGGCCAGACAACAGGTTCTGCCCCAGAGCTCTGAGACACCTTGATTGTAGCCCCATTAGACCCACTTGGACTTCTGACCTGCAGAACTGTGTCATAAACTCGTGTTGGTGTAAGCTTCGGAGTGTGTGGTGATTTGTCAAAGTGGCCATAGGAGAGGAAGCAGGCTTAGTCCTGGGGCCTCGCAGGAGTGAAGGGTGACCCTGCCTTTCCTGAATTTAAATGCTGCTCCCTTTCAGGACAAAGAAATTTTATAAGGGGCTCAGTCTCCCCTCAGGCAATTGGTAAAAATATGAATGCTCAGCTAGGTTCACATCTCCGTATCTAGCGATATGGTCAAAATACAAGAAAAGCAAATCCCCAAAAAGTCCACCTGGGGGGGCTGCCTGTCCCCTGGCCTGCTGTCTTCCTCCTCCTTGCCTTGCTGGAGTGTGTGGGGTCCCAAGAGTCCAGGCGAAGCCAGGTTTAGCTCAGGGCTCCGTGGGGGCCGGCGCTCACCTGGAGACACAGCGTGCTGACACCTGCCTTGAGGGACTGCTGAGGACCGAGGGCCTGGTGCTCTCCCTGTGAGCAGAAGCCAGAGTTCCCAGGTGTTGCTGGGCCCAATCCCTTTTAGGAACTGGTCCTGTGGCGCTGGGGGATCACTGATGAAACCCCTGGCTTGCTCCGGTGCTGGGAAATGCCTGTGACACAGGGTCTGTGTCGGGCCTGAGCGTGGGCCTTCCTAGGCCAGGGCTGGGCCCGTTAGCCCGGAGTCCTAGTAGGATTTCTTGCATCTGCTTCTGTGGTGTGCAGCGTCCTGCGGGAAGGGAGTTGGTTCGGGCAGCTCTAATGGGTGAGTTCGTGTCATGGGCACAATGCTTAACCTCCTGCAGGCACTTGAGGACTGAATGGGCAGGGCAGCTCCCCTGCTGCCTGGCCAAGTTACCACTGCTCTCCAATGGGGACACAAATGAGGGCTGCTGAATGAAGGAAAACCTTGAATTCATGATTCTAATGGTGACTGTCTTGTTCCCTGTATAACCAAAGGAACTGTTGAGATTTCAGCTTTGAATTGAACTTGTGTGACACTTTGGGGACTGGCAGATGTTTAACCGGCTCTGGGGACCCCCTGATGGCCCTCTGATGCTTAGAGCATCTTCCCCTGTGGCTCATTGCCAGCTGCCAGCTGCCAGCTGCAGAACAGGGTGGAAGGACAGTGGCCCTCAAAGGTGATGACCCAGCTCCAGGGGTCAGACAGGTAGGCAGTTTGGGAGCAGATGTTCCTCATGTCGTGTCACTGAGTTTTGGACAGGATCCCGGTGACAGCTGTCACTCTCATGGCCCCCTTCCCAGCATCCTTTCTGTGCCACTGTGCCACATCGCCAAGTCCTTCCACCTCCAGGCCAGCCCTCTCCCGAGCCATCAAGGACAAAGGCATGAATGGGATGAGTTTGACATTTATTGACAGGTGGCGTTGTTCCTTAGCAGTCTCCTGTTTCAGTGCAAGGTGGCATTGTCAGAGGTGGCAAGACAGTCTTGAGGTCTGGCAAAGTCTTCAGCAGGAGTTCAGAGGCCTCACTCTTCTGCAGTTAGCGTTTTCTGCACCTCCGGGTATACCTGCGGCGTCCGCACCCTAAGAGTACAAAAGATGTTGAGAAGGCGTCACGGCCCCGTAGAGCCCAGCCCCAGCCCAGGCCGGACTCTTACTTTGTCTCCGTCTGGGATGGCATCGCCTCCTTGGTCTGTGGCTGCGTCTATGGTAGCCTCTGCTCTGGCTTGGGCTGCGGCAGCATCTGTATCTGGCCATGGCTCGAGGTGAACTTGGCCCACACATGGCTCAGAGCAGGGGCACCACCTCAGCTGAGCCAGCCAACCTGTGAGGAGGTGGAACTTCGTGGGCTATGAGGCAGGGCTGAGCCCTGGGCCTCTTATAGACGCAGGACATTGTGAGGTCAGAGTGGCCAGGACCTCACAGAGCATGGCCAGGGCCGCGCTTCCTGTCCATGTATGGGCACTCGAGGGGTGCTGCAGCCTTGGCACACGGGGGCCTCCGTGTCATAGCCAGTGTGACTCTGTAGGTGAAGTGTGCGTGGGGCAGGCCTGGTCGCACTGCTGGGTTTCCCGCTGGGCTCACGTGGTGTTCTGAATGTCACCAGGCAGAGTGTTTTAGAGGGTAGCAGCTAAAATTTCAAAAGAGCTGTGTGTGGTGGCACATGTCTGTAATCCCAGCACTTGGGAGGCTGAGGCAGGAGGATTGCTGCAAGTTCGAGTCCACCCTGAGCTACATAGTGAGTTCAAGAACAACCTGAACTACATAGTGAGACCCTGTCTCCAAAAAAAAAAAAAAAGTTTTAATTTTGCAACTTAGAATAGAACAGCAAAATAAATAATGTGAAGAGCAGTTTCACGTTTTCCTTCCAAAGCAGAGGTCGTTATATGTGCTGGACAGCAGAGGAGGGATGGATGACATTTCCCAATGGGAGGGAGAGGAGAGGATGGCAGA